CCAGTCTGAAAGGTGCTCCAGGCCTGAACATGCTCCCAGAAGTATCACTAGTCTCAGGGCAACCCCTGGTGACCATGGTGCCTTCAGAAATACCTAGAGGATATCATATTTCAGCTCACCCTCAGCAGATTCCTGTGTACTTTAGGAATGATGTAGGGTGGGATGACATATACAGAGTAAGTAGAGTCCATTTTCCTTTTGCCTACTGAGAAAAACTTGACCCAAAGTCTGAGGTCTGGTGAGGGCTAACTCTTCAAAGCTATCTCTCAAGGAGACACTGAGTCTACAAATGGAGAGGATTTCTCTTGGGAAAGCAATTGTACCGAAGTGGTTCCTTGCAGAGTGTAGTCTCTGTATTATTGCTGTATATAGAGTCTCTGCCCATGAGCATTCTTTCCTTCCTTCTCTTGAAATACTCCATCCAGTAGCACTTAAACTCTTTCACTGACAGTTCACAGTGGGTGAAAAAAATACCACGTTTCACTGCTAAATAACATGTTAAAAGCAGAGCAATTCATATCAGTCTCCCTGAAGTTTTAAGTCCTTTATAAGCATTAATCTGCTTATAATTTGCTTTAATAAATAAATCTCACCAGAACACTCCAGTGATTCTGAGACTATTGGTGTAGCACTTTATGGAGCTCTGACAGTCCCAGATCATTCACAGTAGTTACAGAGATACCTCCAGACTAATACTTAAAGCTTCTCTTCTTTAAGAAGATTCCTGTATTCCTTAATGGCATAAAATAAAAGCTGTGCATACTATTTGACACAAATTAATTTAACTCCTATCATCCACTTTTTAAATACATACAATTTTATGTCATGTACTTGTGTCTGGAATGATGAGTGTGTATGCAGTAACTGCTCTTTGTAGTTTTATAATTTGCATGCAACAGCCATGCAACTGTGAAGCCCTGCTAGTCAGAAGTAGAGTTGTTGTGTTGCTGCTTCATTTTCAGCAGAAGCACTCATAAAAAAAAAAAAAAACCCAAACTACTAACAGATAATTTTCTTCTGTATTTTCTTAAGGCCATAGAGGTTATAAATTGAAATTTGTTTATAGTTAGTATAAAAACCTAGGAAGTTCTTTGTTGTTATTTGAGGAAACTTGGATTGCCAAAGAAGAATACTTCTGAAATTTAGCTAAAAATAAGGCTCTTTGGTGCAGGGCAATAGTAACAAGTGCTTGGAAAAAAATATGCAGTTAGAAACAAATTTGGTACACTTCTAAATTATTTCCTTTGTGTATAAATCAGACCTAATGGACTTTTCCCTGCAAATATTTTGTAAGAGGGCAATACATGTTATAGTCAAAGTTAACTCTTGTCTGTTGGGATCACTCAGTTCCCATGAACGCAGTTGAAGACGTATAAAGTAAATTTACCACATGTCAACAAGATCTACTAGTATTATATTTTTCATAACATCTGGGGTTTTGTGTGTTTACTCTTTTATAAGTACATCAATAAGATTTGTAAACAATTTTTTTCTGTTACATCATTGCAATTCTAGTCTTATATAATGGAGAGGAGGGAATATACGACAACTGTTATTATACTGCCAAAATAAAAATAATTTTGATACCAGCAGTAATTATTTTTAGATGTGTGCTTTAAGTAAACTAAATTAAATACTAAAATTATAGTTTGGTATATCCAGGTTAAAGTATTGTTTCCTCAGATACCTCCCTTTTCAAACTGTTGAGACTATCTGCAACATCAGCTAGATTAGATTTTGGTTGCCAGCTTTTCAGAAAGGATATGCTGGTGGAAGACAAGGTCTGGAAAAGTTGTTTATAAATGGAAATCTATATTGGATTTGGGTTTTTTTGACATATGATTTTGAAACATTCTGTGACTGAGGTAACTGTGGCTGTTTTTTACTATTTTCCTTTCCACGTATGATAACATGCAAATTCTGATCAGTAATTAAAGACAAAAACCTTGTTACCAAATATATGTGAACAATATGTAAACTTCAGTATCAGTACTGCCCTGTATAATCCTCCACCCTTTTTATTTTCTGTTTGCACTAACCTATTGAGATAAAATAGACAATATAGTAAAATGCTTATATATAGTTATATCATCAAAAATGTCTAAAACAGAATGAACCAAGTTAAACACACTTGAGTATTAGATGGATTACACTTAATTACAGTAGAAAAAGCAAGAAGTACAGCTTCATTTCTAGTCTATTCCTGGGATTATTTTCATCTCTGTTAGGACAAAGCGAATGCAACACTTACTTTCTATTTAAATCTTATTTTGAAGGTTAATTGGAACTTATTATAATACATTAAAATGATTCCCATGTGTGAAGAAGAATTTTTCACTGAATGATGTAATCAAGATTAATTTTCTGTCATTTTGTCTCACCTGGTCCCTGCCAATTATATGACATTGAAAGAGAATTCTGTCATATGTTGGGGATCTTATATTTTATGTCACTTCTAGTGCAACATTAATTTCTATTAAAAAAATAAAAAGTTATTTGCTTGTATTTCTGGACTTATTTTAATTACTTACTTTCAAGCATACAATAGCGAGCAAAACAGGGAGGTAAGCTTCTATGGTGCTATCTTCATGTATTCTGAAACCTAATACAAAATCATTGGCTTTTCATAATGCCTAATTTAAAGATAAATGCTAGACATATCTGTAGGTCATGTGATTAAACATTTATGCCTATATTAAGAAATACTGGGAAGCTTTTTATTTATTTATCATTTTATATCTTTTCAAGTCATATTCTAGAATAAGTGTCCTACAGTCTGTTCAATTCTCTGAAGAGCTTCTAAAGGACACAAACACTAAAGCAGAGAAGCAGAACTCCATCTTACTTGAGAATGCTGCCAAAAAACACCACTACTATCAATGAGGAGAATGTCTGACCGTTCCATAAAATAATAGTGAAGTCATGAATTCTAGCATGAAATATATTCTAATTGGAGTTGATAATTTCTTGGTTTCAGAGTCATAAAGGAAAAGCCATTGGCAGTGAGAAAACAGTACAAGAGAAAATGCCCAAGTAAGCAGGTTGTGAAACAATTAAAAATCATTTTAAAAGGAATGAATTCTGTTTAACTAACCTATTTCCAAAATTAAATGTTACCATTTTAGCTACAAATTTCAAGCTACCTCTTTTTACTTATTGATTTAGTGTAATTAATAGTCTGTTTAGATCAAGACAGCTATTCAGAGATCAGATCCTTTGCCCTTTATTAGTTTTATTCTTAAAACATCTACAAAGCAACCCACAACCGTATGTCACATTAAGTAGTCATTCGGCATATTACTGTATAAATAGCTCGTGAATTATATATGAGGGAAAAGTCTTTCTTAAGAAATATTGGAAGAGTTTTGCTTTGTGTCTACAAGCCTAACTAATAAAACTTTTTTCTACACCATAGGCAGTTTTAAGGTTCATATTAATGAACTGTAGCAGCCTCTAGCTAGAAGGAAAGTCATTGAGGATAGTAGGGTTTCAGTAAGGCATTCAGTGTGGATTCATACCATTTTCCACTACTACCTGACACATAATGTGAGTTACTGGAATAACAAAAAAGTATTGCAAATTATATTGTTAAGAGGAAATGGAGTCTGGTGATATTGAATATGCACATGCAAAGGATGTAGAAAGTACCCAAAGAGCCAGTGTCACAGTATTGAATAAAGTGAACCCTGTGTTAGACGAAAATATCCCTGCTTACTTACCACGGGAGGAAATAATAATAATAAAAAAAGTTAACTGTTGATTTATTTTTTATATATATATTTATAAGATGCCACATTAATATTACATGACTTCTTATACTAAATCAGAGAACCATGAACTCTGCTTTGAATATGAAAAGCTATGATTTTCTGTCTTTTGTGTTTTTGTGATATTATTGTAGAGGCTTGGGAGAGATCAGGCAAGGACTCAAAGTATTATAATAACTAATGATAAAAATGCTTGTATTTGCTATTAGTTCCTTGTGAAGCAGTCAGTAATACGCAAATGTTTGCTGTATATGTTGCAGGTTTGAGAAATAACCTCATTACCTATCCCATTGAAAACTAGGTTTGAGAAATAACCTCATTACCTATCCCATTGAAAACTATGTTTTTGTGAAAAGAACTGGGTCCTTTTTCATAGCAGTTTATACAGCTGACCGTAAATCGAGCATGGATCAGTACGCCACATTCTGTAGCCCTTGTGCAAAGTCTCGCACTGATTAGGGTTGACAGGGAAATGCCCATTGTTAAAACCCATCCACTGTTAGCAGAAATGTGGCGTGAAATGGGTTGAACACGTGATAGCTGCTGGCACTTTGAACATAGTCTATTCAAACGTCAGATTAGTAAAGCACTTTGGGTTTGGGGTTTTTTGGCTTGGTTTTTTTTGTTGGTTTTTTTTTTTTTTTGCATTGTGCTTAGCACAACTGGAAAAATCTAGTGTGATGGTCATTTCCTGCTGAGTCAGAATGCAGCAAAGCTGCTCGAACGTGAATGCAGTGGGCCACCGGAGATGGCTGCTTTCTGGTCTGTGCTAGAGAAGAGACTGCAGTTTGTTTGGAAAAGTAGAAGTGATCAAAGAGCTTCTATGAGATTGGCGAAGGAAAGTATTGCAATATGTTTTTTAAACTCTTCTTTCAAAGCACAGTTTATCTCTTTAGCTGCCTTGCTTTTGGGTGTTTTGGTTTTCTCTTTTTGAGTGAATTGCTAACAGTTGTGAATATGTGGTTGCTAGAAGAGATAGCACTTCAGAGTGTTTAGCACATAATATTGAAAGAGGCTTGAAATCAACAACAGATCTGTAAAGATAACTGGATTATTTTACAGAAATAATTTTAGTAAATGGGATTTACCCAATATATTTCTCTAAGCAGAAATCTTAACATATGGATATGGTAAGAGAAATTGGACTACTTCCTCTCTGTCAGAGAAAACAGACTGAAAAGTCTCCCAGCTGTATTCCTGCTCTACTCATTTTGTTTTCCTCCTTTCCACCAGTTTTTGCCTGTGTGGAGAAGAAAGGTGTTTCTTGCGTTCCCTGCAAGTGAACCTTTGCAAGAAATTCTTTTTCTTGGAAAGTAAGTTTCTCTGTATTTATTTATCTCTCTATTTTTTTTTTTCTCTTATTCCTTAAAGACACTTGGCTTGCATTTAGAGGAAACTTTAAAAACCTTTGAAAACATTACATGTTGGGTAGCTCCATGGATGATATCTTATGGAATTTGATTACTGACTTCATGTATTTGTTTTAGGTTATATGTGAAATACTGGCAAATTTCCTTCACAGAAAAGGAGTGCGAGAGATGAATGATAAAAGGTTGGTTTGATAAACTGGGCAAGGATGATCTACCTTTAGGGTGGAGAAGCACAAATTTCCCATCTACTTTGCCCTGTCAGCATGACTGAGGTCCAATATTGAGAGTTTCATCTACTGCTGATTTCTTCTGGCCTCTCGTAAGAACACTTTGTCTACCCAGCGTTTGGCAGAGGAGTGGAAAGAGGGGCCACAGCGTGTTGCACAACCCATTCACCTTTCTTCCACGCCTGGGATGAAAGCCTGCAATCCGCAGTCTGCAACCCAGCAGTGATTAGTAGAGAACTGATGGGTGGAGAGTGGCCTGTTTGGGCTGGTGTAGCCCGCTGCACTCTGTCCGGCCATGCCTGGGGTCACACACAAGAGCTTGTGATGATTTATTCATTGTGGTTCTGTGGGTGGCCTCCTCTTGATGGCAAGGGAGGATATTCCCCCTGCTTCTGGGACTGCCCTCCAGCAGTCAGCTGGAGGCTGGCGATCTGCCATCCAGAAGATGCCTCTCGCTCTTCAGCTTTTCTCCCTTTCTAGTAAAAAGGTCAGGTAGAGGAGTCTGCAAGGTACAGGACAAGTGACACCAGGAAAGGGAAGAGAGGGTGTCAGAGCTCAAGCAGCAGCAGGAACATGATGTGAACAGGAATCCTGGATTCAGTCCTGCAGTGCTTGGACAGAACTCTTACGAAAGACAAGGGCTTGTCCCAGTATAACAGATGTGCTGTTTCTTGGATAAACTGCAGTGGATGCTGTTATCGTTGTACGTGTCTAGTAGTTTGTATTTTGACAAGCTAGAAAATCTTTGACATGGAGTAGAGGTTGCTTGAAGGAGTAGCTGGCCATTTCTCAAGAAATGTCTAATTTTCTCAAGAAATAGGACTAATTTAAAGTAAAATTTTTAAAAAATTACCAGTTTTCTTATATTTTTATTAAGTTTCTGATCAGAGAACTTTTTAGTATATGTATATGCAGGGCAGCATTAATTAAGCTCAAAAAAGTTGTCAGTTCTCAGCAGAGAAAAAATGAGCAGGAAAGTGGGTATTGAGAAGGAAAAATAGAAAATTCCCTAAGAAATCAGGAAAGCAAAAAAGGCAGTGGAAGCATCTAAAACCAACATAGAGCTGAGAAGGTAAAAAATGTATGAGTAACATTAATAGGAATTAGTGATTAAATTTTAATTTTCAAAGGAAAAGATGTATAAATAAAGAATAGTAGTAAGCAATAATCACACTAGAACACATAAGGAGAAATTCAACATCTAAACTTAGCCACAGAAAAAACGGTCAATGATGATTTATTACTGATGGATATATTTTGAAGAGACTCTGAAGAGAAAAAGATGATGAAAGTAGCTCTTTCTTGTTCAGTACATTAAAGAAAAAAAGTTTGAAAATAATTTGTAGAGTAGCTCATGACAGAAACTACAATAGGATCATTGCGTTCTGGAAATGAAGCTAATAGTCCCAGTTTAGCAATTGGGACATTGCTAGTCCTAGGGATTCGTTAGTACTTGTGTTAATGTTAAATTTGGCCACTTAAAGGGGATAGAATCAGGAAAATCCTTTCAGTTTGAAAATTGATTCAGGCAGAAGTGACCCATGTCTGAATAGAATTGGTTGGAAAGTGGGCTGTTTTTTTGTGAAAACCTGGAAATATTAATTAGAAAGGTAAACACTAAAATACAAAGATTTTCTAGTTGGGAGTTTTCAGAGAAAGGTCACAGTTTTCTATAGGAAGCAAAGACATTTTCTGGAAGATTTTTGGTTAATCAGAAATCTATTTTTATGTCATAGGACAGCATTTGCCAGCCTTAGCTGTGAAGCATGAACGTATTAGTAATCCCAATTCACCTCAAGTACAGAAGGCGAATGGTACTCAAGATGTAAAGTTTCAAAACCATCACTTGTTTTGTCTGGCTTCTTAACTGTTCAGCGGTGCTTGGCCTTCCTGGAGGCTGGCATTTGACTTTTTTAGGTCTGTTTTGTGGTTTCTTCATCCTTTAGAAGGTTAGCCTCTCACTACAATTATATATGCTTAAAAGTCATCTAGAAGATGATATTTGGATTGAAGTAGAAAGAGTAGTAGAAATAAATAAGAAAGCACAAAAGCACACAGTGTAATGAAGTATAAAGGATAGGTTATAAGATCTGTAAAAGATGTACTTTTTCTCTCTTACAAGATGTTTAGCTTATACACTCTGAAAGTTATGGATCAACCTTCTCACATTTGCCTTGCCTAACAATACACCACAGATACAGTCATGGTACAAATAATAAAAACAACAGTGAGGCAGAGATTAAAACTTTTAAAGCACTAAATAAGTTGGAAGAGGCAGGAAAAGAGTTATGAAAATTGAAGGGAGGGAGCCATGTCTGTTAAAGATTCTTAGATAAATATGGGGTTTTTTCTTCACTATGTTGTCACGTTTTTTTCATTACTGCCTTGTCTGAAGTATAACGTCTTTGTTTTAAAATCCAGGAGGTGAGTTTTAGGAATTATGTTACTTATACAAGCTACATTGTGCAGAAAGTTAAGAGAGAGAGTGGAAAATCCTTGAGGCACATTAGGAACAAGAGGCCCATGAAAGAGACTTCACTGTACCTGATGGTTGGCAGGTAAAATGTATTGACAGAAGGAGCACATTGCTTAAAAGAGAGAACTTCCTGCCTTGTTCTCAAAAAAGGGATACCAAGATCTGAATGCTAGGAGCGAGTAAAAACTTCCCAAGGAATAGGGAAAGGAATCATTTACTAAAAGTGATAGTCAAGAAACAAGTTTATTGAAATAGGCCACTTTGTTCATGTTCTGTGTGCCTGATATTTATTGATAATACAATGGAGAGCTGGACACAAGTGCTGACCCCTGTCATTTGACTGAGGCAAGGTCCTTGCTACTCTAGCAATGAAAGAAAGAGTTTGAAAGCCTCCAAAATTCAACGCTGCACTCATCTCTGTGAGCAATTGTATGCCCGAATCTGGAAGTTTTTATCTTCTGGCAGGCAGATAGAACTGGTTTTGTAAATGCTGGTAATTATTGGCCACCAGGGTACGTAGTCCTGGTTAATGTTTTGTTCATAATACATGGACTGTTTCTTAAAGTTGTGAAAGTGCACGGTTACAAGCTATGACAATACCTTTTTTTAAGCAAGGCTGATGGCGTGCCGCGGGCCTCTCCGTAGCTGAGGTGTGAAAGGGCTGTTGCAGCCATGCAGCACTCAAAGGCCGGTGCATCTGGTGAGTGCCCTTGAGAGACACCGTAGCCTTCACCCTAGCATCCACATGGTAAAAGAGACATTTGTTCCAAGCTAAAGAACCCTCATTTTTGTAATCTGTGTTCAGCAGCTAGGTGGAGACAGAGAAGTGAGCTGTGCCTCATTAATACAGCCTGATCTTTTCCAAATTTGACCTAGGTCGCCACATAACTCTTTACAATAACCCCAGCCGCCTTCCATACCCACTTCACAACCTAAAACTTTCGATTTCCCCAGAGTATCACCAGCTTCCCCCTGTGTTTCCCTCCCCTCTGAGTGTGAAACAGGCAGCATGCTCTCCAGGATAAATGGTAGTTATTACCAATACCTCTCCCTCTCCTCTACCCAACTGCCAGTGTTCACTACCCTTTTAGAAACTTATCTTCTATACTGCTGTCCCTCTGCCGATTTGTTTGAAATTGGACAGCAGGTTCACAATTTATCGAAAAAGATGAAAAGCTCCAGGGGTCAGGTCTCATTTCCTGAGGAAGCTAGGGTTTAAACAAATGGTCACAGATCAGTGATTAGATTGCAGCTTCTGCTGAGAACTTCATGGGCTGAGCCAGCCAAAGTTACAAGCCTAAAAAAAATGTGTGCAGCCTGATACTAAGTTTTATCAGCATGACTGCTATATAGGCCCCATATGACACAGAAAAAACTTCCTTAGCAGTATTTTTAGCAAAGGAAGCTAAGCATGTAAAAAGTGGAATTTGTATATTTCACCTGCTACAGCTCTTTCTTTTCTTCCACAAATATTCCACATCGTCTTTTTCAGATGGATGCCTGGCTCAGAGTAAAGGACATGCAGTGCACAGTCCCTAGCAGAAGCTGAAAATGGATGATGCCTACTGATGCTTTTCGTTCACGTCATCTGCTCTTTTCCAGAGATGGGTGAGATCATCAGGAAAAAGTTCTAAAATCCAAGTAACCTCTTTGTCCCTTGACTTCTCTTTCCACGAGTCTAAAAATTGCCAGAAGAAATGACCAGTCAACTACCAGAGGAGTCTGTGGAGACCCAGAGCTCCGATGAGCTTGAGTGCAAGATCTGTTACAACCGCTATAACCTGCGACAGAGAAAACCAAAAGTGCTGGAGTGTTGTCACAGAGTGTGTGCCAAATGCCTTTGCAAGATCATAGACTTTGGTGATTCCCCACAAGGAGTCATAGTATGCCCATTTTGCAGGTTTGAAACGTGCCTGCCAGATGATGAGGTTAGTAGTCTTCCTGATGACAACAACATCCTTCTGAATTTAGCTTGTGGGGGAAAGGGAAAGAAGTGCCTACCAGACAACCCAACAGAACTATTGCTGACTCCCAAAAGGTTGGCATCTCTGGTTAGCCCTTCTCACACCTCTTCTAATTGCCTGGTTATAACAATCATGGAAGTACAAAGAGAAAGTCCCCAGGCTCTGAACTCAACCCCTGTGGTGGAATTTTACAGGCCTACGAGTTTTGACTCTGTTGCAACTGTGTCCCACAACTGGACAGTGTGGAACTGCACATCTTTGCTCTTCCAGACCTCAATTAGGGTGCTAGTGTGGTTGCTAGGGTTGCTGTACTTTAGTTCCTTGCCTTTAGGGATTTATTTACTGGTATCTAAGAAAGTCACCCTTGGGGTTGTCTTTGTAAGCCTTGTTCCTTCGAGCCTCGTTATTCTCATGGTTTATGGCTTTTGCCAGTGTGTTTGCCATGAAGTTCTAGACTGCATGTCATCTTGATAACAAATGCAGTAAAATAAGACATATTGCCACATAGCATAGTTAATTTATTCTGTCTTTGTATTCTTATTTATTTTTATTGTTTTCCATCCCACTAAGTGGAAGCAGTGACCCTAGTTACATGGTCCTTCTTTTCTACTTGATTAGATTCCCCCAACTCCTTTTTTTAAGTGAAATAATGGAAATAAAATATACATGCTGATTTGAAAAGGCTGAGTTGTAGAAAGGGATAAAGCAAAATTGCCAAACTTGGTGCCTGCTGCTGCTCCCACTATGCAAATAGTAGCCCTTTGCTTTCTGTTGGCTTGATCATGTCAGTTAAGGCTGCAGGATCCACCCTAGAAGAAATTAGTAGAATAGGCAGCTTCCAGGTCAAAGTACAGCATCTCTTCATCCAAAGCAACTCATGCTTTGGAATATCTGTTATTTATCATTCATTATCATTCATAGCAAATGAAATCACTTTGGTAGTTAATATTATAAGAAGAATAAGTCAAGCTACCATTGCTTTTTTCAGTTTTTGTTAGAGCAGAAATATTTGTGGGAGGCCAATGGTTACAGATTTTTGCATTCTGCGACATGAGAAATCTTTTTTTCACCATGCTAAAAACATATCCCCGAAACACTGTCCCCAGACAGAAGCCCACTCTACTTGTCGTATGGTTGCAGCTCCCTCTGAGATGCTTCTGCGAATGACTACGTCCAGGGACCCAGCTACACGTTTGCCTTTCTCTAGGTGCACTTACTTCAGTGTGCCATAGACCTTAGCCCACACTTTGAAGGTGCTGCAGACTTCTCTAGATATGTTCTGTTGTGCTTACCCTCCCTCTCAGCATTCCCACCACTGCACCGCATTTCCAACCCATTAGTCCTCCTAACAAATTGCCTGACCAACTTCATGCACATCTCTGTGGTAGCTACACTTGGAGAATTTGGCTTATGTGACTTTACCTATCAAGACAGACTTTTATTCCCAACCATTAGGAAATGGATATTCAATCACCAACACAAACTCCAGAAAAAAAATGTGAAACAATTAACTGGGGTTTTTTTGTTTTGGTTTTTTTTTTTTTTTTTTCTCTTGGGTTAACAGAATGAGCATTGTAAGGAGGTACTATGACTCTGGGAAGGTTTCTGTTTAACACATAGTCCTCCAAAATGTTTAATACCCTGAACTCCCTTTTTCACCGTTGTGAGTTGATGGCACTCTAGATGTGGCAATTAACATGTCTTGATTAGTTGAGTTCAGCGGAATTACTGATGATTTACCATTCCACAAATAGAATCAGGTCCTGTAAGGCTTGCTTGTATGTTGCATGGTTTAGGCTACTTTTTGAACTACTGGAAGGGCACAAAAGTAAATAGTTAATGTTTATGTGTATAAGTAGGTCTAGTCAACACCACAGCTGCAAACTCATTTTCCTGTGCATAGCAGGGTAAAAACTAAGAAGGAGGAGTTGAACAGTGCAAGTATGGTTTTTGGGTCAGGCACAAGATTTAGTAATTTCAAGGCAGTGTAAGAGGGAGAGGGGTTTGTTACATGAAGACTGAATATATGGCCTAACAGCGTATTTTTAGAGCAAACTGACTCTGGCAACAATGAAAAATGCCTATGGGAAAAGTAGAGTGTAAGTGGTTATTGTGTCTCTCGAGGATTTGAGGTCAAGCTGGTCCAATTTTTGTAGATGGCGCAGGTGCTATCTACAGTTTCATTCCTATTGCAAACATAGGGGAAAATGTGGAAATGTAAAGCTCCTGTTTTTCTTGACCCTCGTTTTATAATAGTGCATATATATGTGTGTGTATGTACATAGAGACACATATGTAAGAAGAAAACATAGCGAAATTATAGTTTTCAAGTGTATGGAGTTATGGATCTATGTACTAAATGATTAAAGGAAATGTTTCACACTTTTCTGTAAAGACTTGATAACAACTATAACTAAAATATTTTCAGAATTCCTAGAAATGACTATTCCTAAGTAATTGTTTTACTGTTTGTGATAAAGCACATTTAGTTAGAAGAGGTATCATCTCCAGTTGTGGTATACTACAAGGTTTGACTCATCCATGAACTCATAAATTTTAAGTATCCAACAACAATCATGTCAAAAAGCAAGAAAAATAGAAACCTGTGTGGTTTTATAGTACTTCATAACTTTGGGGAAAAGTGTACTTGTAGTGTTAGGGATTTATATGTTTTAGGATTTGTTCAATTTGTCCGAATATAATGTCTCTAATAAAGGGCTGGCTAATAGAGGAAGTAGGTTTTGCAAATGTGTGACATACATGTATTACCTCTGCACAACATGTCTACAGTGCTACCTGTTGTTATTTCCTTTTGACTTTCAGTTGATTACCTTAGCTCCAGCACCAGGTATTTTGTACTCTGTTTTAAAACAGAGCCTAATCTCTGCAGGATTACAGTGGTATTGGTTACACATCACAGCACAAATAAATACACCTGTTATTATACTTCACTACTCTTAAGACTGCCAGCCTGTTAAATTTATGCTGTTATTTTAGACTGTGCTGCAATACTAATCCACTCAAAAATGCGAGCGTGCAAAACCATATTGATTGTATAGCTATTCTGCCGCTCAGCCAGAGCACATTATTACAGCTTTGGTCTCATAAAATTCCTATATGACTTATAATATGGCCATTGAGAATTGCTATGAGGTCCAAATCTCAATTATTTGTGGAGAAGATAGCTGCTGTATGACCGAGACTAGAAGAACTTCAGATATTACTCTTTCACTATTTTTATTCTCCACCATCCTTAAGACTTAGAACTGAAAACTCTCGTGTCCTCTGCAGTGGAATAACTCTGCTGAAGTCAGTGTAAATGGAGCTAGAATCAAGTCCTGCATACCTGCCTTCCTGCATTTCCTTCCCTTTCTGTGACTTTTTCTCTCCTTGAAGAGTAATGGCTCCTGTGGTTGTAAAATAATGTCTGCACACTCAGACAATTCCCTTTTAGTAGGATGGTATTCCTGCTTTGCTCGGACACGTGACTCAAATGGGTACAGAGTGTTACAGATTCATTACTACAGAATTAATATAGTCCAAATGAGATTTTGGGGGGGTTTTAATTCCGGTTTATCCTATGGATGCCGACTGTATCCTTACCAGCTGCTCATTTACAGTACAATATAGTGGCATCCCCTGAGGGCTGGGGCAGGATGATGCAGAAGAAGTTGCTGGGCACATCAGGAAGGATGTGCTGAGTTGGACCGTCCTCTGAGTGGGACCAGGGAGGGATGAAGCTCCCCTGCAAGTATGGCCTGAGCCCAGAGCCTAAAGGGCAATTTTCAGAGAGTGGGTTCAGAAACAGGACGTGGGGCCTCGGGGTGGGCTGTGGCTGAGAAGCTGTGCAAAGCAGAGAGGGGTCTATGCCTAGGACAGAGACGCTGTGTCTAAAAAAGGAGTTTGTGGTAGAGCTGCTGCAAACAGAGTTTAATGTTTTTTCATAATGACCCTTCTGGACTTTAAAATTAATTTGGTAATTAAAAGTAATTTTCTACTGCTACTACAGTTGAGTATATCTACTTTCCAAATGGCAAAGTACTGAACTTTAAAGAGATCCTTAGATTTGGGCATATTCCCTCTATTATGTTAGCTATTTAAAGCTTTCAAACAGGACTGACCAAAATAAGGGCTGATGTCTTTGTTTCAGCTGCGTTGTGAGCTTTGTCCTACTATATTTGTTATATGCCTGCAAAACTGTACATGCTAATATAGAACATTTAAAACAGGCAAACTCTTGTCCTGATATAACACTGTTGGAAAACTTCAGGGTTGCCAGCATTTCACAATGTTTCTAAGAATAGCTGCTCTTCCCAATGGACTTTACCTGAAGATACAGATAAGCCCAGCAGCGCATGGCCAAATAGGCAACTACAGTACAGGAAAACACAGCTTTCCAGCTAAATGGCTATACGTCACTTCAACCAGAGAAAAGGGAACTGAGGAGGCTCACAGGAACATGGATGGTGTTGTGTCTGAGGACGTTCCTTGTTATTAGGGTACAGAACCATTGTTTTTCCTATTTCCAAGCTTAGATTAATCTCACTTTTCCCCATTACTTTTCTGCCCTCTCTGCTGGGACAAGACTATAGGAAACTGTGGGTAAACAGGATTTTGAAGTGAAACAACCTTTTCTACTATGTTGAGTTTACGGCTCAGTCCAGCAAAACAAGATTAATACTGAAGAGATGGCAAATTGCAGCCAGGATGCGAGAGTGAACAGGGTGCTGAGGCGAAATGGCAGCAGGTTGTTGTAACAGTTTTGATGTCAAAGCAAGGAAAACAAGGGGCTATATCCTGCCTTGCCTTGGCTGGTTCAAAACTAGCGAGAGGCTGTCCCAAGCCTGAGGACCACCATGACTGGACACCCTCCCCTGCGTTACCTCTGTGACAGCTCGCCTCAGTTGTGCATCTTGATTTCTTGTACAGCAGTTGTATGTAACGATCTCATCTTCCTGCACGGATGATGGGTGTAATGAAAGGTCCACAGTGTTCCACTCTTAAACAGGCTCATTTTAACTATCCTAAGGTTCCTCAGGGTTTTTTTTCTGAATTTCTTCATATTTCTACAAAAGCGAGACAGTGTGCTTTATTTTAAATAGAGCAGTGCCTTCAAGGATTTAAAAAAAAAAAAAAAAAAAAGAAATGGGAAGAAGAATGAGAATTTTGAAATCATTTTAAGATACTCAAAGCAACGAAAAGAGGCTGTTCTGAGAGCCTACTTTTACTTTTATACTAGTAGATTAGCTGTTATCCTTTGAGTGACGTCAGTAAATTTTAGTGCTGGAGATTTCTCAGGGAGTTTATAAGTCTGCCAGACCTTAGGCACAAACCCTGTACTCCACCGCTTTTCTGTAAAGTACCATTCTGCCTTTTGCATCAGCTCCCCTTGTCAAAAGTTGAACTGTCACAGTTTATAAAGAGTTCTGGCACAGAGAATAAATCCCCAGTCTGGGGATGGTAAATCATCTTTTTAGAGACGCGTGTGGCAGTAGCAAAGCTTTCAGTGCTAGACCTTAAACAAAGAGAAGTCATCTTGCAGTCTGAATTGATAGCATAAATTTCATTTTAAATCAAGTTTCATTGTGTTGGGCAACACTACAACTAAAAATCCTTTTATTGTATTTCTGCCTCGTGTGTTATACAAAGTGGCTTGCATTTAAAAAAAAAATGTATTAAATCATAGAGATGAGAGATGGGTAGAAAAAAGCCTAATAAGTAGTTTTAATCTGTTTCCTCTGCCCACATGGAGACAAATGCTTTGTCTAGTCTGGTTTTAAGTATCTCAAGTGATGAAGCCTCCACTTCTTCCCATGAGGGACTTTTCAGCTGTTTAATAAGCATCTTTGTTAGGAAATATTTTCTTCATGGTGATCCTGATTTTTTCTTTTGCGTAGCATAATCCCTCTATTCTGCACCCATTGTTTTAACTTCCATGAAATTTGGAAAAGATATCATTTATCCCTTTCACACTGTAGCTGAATAATTCATAATCCTTGTTGTTCAAGAAATGCTAGAGACTAGTTGCTGAATAGCTCATACTTCACAGAGATGGTATGCCATGTACCAGTAGATATATTTCCTGGCAAGTCACTTCTTTGAACATTAGGGAGTGAAAAATGTCAAGTGAAACTGAAGAAATGCATCTTCCCAGGCACGTATGTGGCAATGTTACTGAAATTTCAAGAGGTGCTGAGGCAAACAGCCTACTTCTTTAGAGAGAGCTTTTCTTTCTAAAAGTGGCTGATTTTAATAAAAGAACGCTTTTAAAAAGCATTTAAATGGTCCTCTTCATAAACAAACCTCTATGTGAGAACCACACGATGTCAAAACTCTTAACTTGTTGAGAGACAAGGCTGGATTGATTGCTCACTGCAGAGCAATTTTTGCTGACAGCTTAGCTCAGAAGAAAAATTTAATCCAGTATTAAGGAGAAGAGTTTGAAAAGATGCCTTTGCAACTGTGTCGCTGGAATCAGATCTGTGCATGAAAACGTGACTCATGTCTTGACAGCAGAAACAGTGCACTGCTGATTGAATTACAACGTATTACATAATCCTCTGCCTACCTCAAATGACAAGGAGCAGTGTGACTAAGGAAACCCCCGGGTGGACAGATGGACTTCATATGGGTTTGCATTTAAAAAATACTTACTTTAAAAAGAGGTACTATACTGTATGAGGGAATGCTGAGCCTGGGTCAGGTGGATGGTCTGGTGGTTCAAGAAGGATCTTTCTAACAGTGAGTGGTGGTGGATGCATGTAAAAAAAACATATGAACAGCCCGTGTGGACAGTGAGCTTCCAATATAACTCCTCCTTTACGGCAATCTGCAGTTTGGACACCTCTTGAGATGGAGGTTATGTCTGTATCTGTTCCATCTTTTAATTATAGACTTGGTGGAATAGGTCGTCTTTGTCTTAAAAACTCCTAGTTACACGTCCCCTACTTTTTCTGATAGGAAAAGCAGTTCCAAAGTGTGATTGCACACTGTTTCCCCCACATCCCTCATAACTTCATCTGTCTCTAGAAATATTAACGTCATGATGATTTTATCCCTCATACTTCTCCTCGGCTGCCTTTTTTCCAAGCTGAAGATCCTGGTCAGTTTGATCTCTCCTTAGATAGCAGCCTTTCCATGCTTGACACCATCCGTTGCGCTTTCTGAACCTTTTCTACTGCTACTTCTTTTTTTGCTTTGAGGTGGGGCAAAGCCCTCAGAAATAGGTTCTAATTAGTGTCATTTGTTAATAAGTTGTTTGACCATGTAAGACGTCTGTACTCCCACGGCCGCTGAAATCACTTTGTCGTTGGTGTCATTCCTGTTGGCGCATCTGAGGTGTTACACTTCGCTATTGCCAGTTTATATATCATGCATTATACTGAGGGCAAGAACACGGGCGTTGATAAACGTGCTAGTGTGTGTTTATCCCATCCGTCCTGGTCCATCTGTTTAAGTGGCCCAGTTCGCACGGGTGCAGAGGATGGCGGATTCCAGGAGAATAGCTAATTTAGCCTTGCTGTAGGCTGTACAGATTTTAGCTCTGTTAAACACGTGGCCTGATGTTGCTGGACTGAGCAGCTACTCCTGAGAAATGCTGTAAGATGCCTTCTCTCTCTGCCACAGCGGTGCGCCTACCTCACCCGCTGGCTGCAGCCATCCCTAGAGCTTTCCATTGCAAGAATACCTTTTTTTTTTTTTTTTTTTTTTTGTAAGCATCTTTTACTTAATCTTTTATTTCTTCAAGGCTTGTGGTCTTTTTCATGTTCTCCTTTATTCATTCCAAGAAGGGGAGACGTTGGCAGATAAAAAGAATGATGCTGTCGAGAGGGTAAGCCCTTTACATTTAGTCCTCCATAATGCCAGCTAGGGCAAAAGTTTGGAGTCTCTGCCTTCATCTCCCAGGGGTGTAAGCAGGGGGCTCGGCATCTTGCCATACTGGCCCTGGGGACGGCTCCTTGAAGCCTCCGGAGGACTTCTTCATCTTGATGTTCTTTACATCAGTGTTCCATCTTTTTTCCTGCTTTTACTTAGAAAAACTGAGTGACTGTAAAAAAACATTGTTATTCCATTAAAACTAGATAGGGCTTATTTCCTCTCAGCAAATAATAAAATTCTGAGGCCAAAACTCAGGAATTTTGTGGCAGTTCCAGGATCAGCTGCAAATCTCTGATGATTTTTTGTTTATTTTGGTAATGAAACACCAATAGCTAAATAAAACCTGGTCAGTGAGGCTGTATAAAACATGCAGGTAGTTAATGAAACTTCACAAGCTCTGAAAATGGGGAAAAAAGTTAAGGAAAAAAAAAAAGAAAAAAGGGGCTTAATCACACAATAGATCTTGGGTAGAGAGGGCAAACAGCAGAATGTGACTTGACAAGAGATTGTAGAAATAATGCACAGAGACAGGTAGAATGTGAAAAATATGCGTGCAAGCTCCATTGAATTATAGATGCATTGTAGGGTATAATTCTTGATCCAACAGACTGAAAAAAACCCCCAAACCAAAAAGGTTTAAGCATATATTATTTTACTTTATACTTTGGCTCTTAAAATCCACTGGTTTTAAATTCCAGATCAGCTTGAGGCTTACCAAATGTGATGTAAGTTTTATGAGAGGAGTTTGACTGCTGTGACTTTGCCTTCTATAGTTGTCTTTTTTATTTTTACACAGAAAGTCATAGTGTGGGGACTTCTTTTTGTTTTTATTTCAGGAGTGGAACGATGAAATACAATGTAATCTTGCAGACATGGAAACTATAACATGGTAGCAAATGGCAAAAGTATAACTATTCTTATCTGAAATAACAAAGTACTAATGTAAAAGCAATTGTTTCACTCAATAAAAATTTAATTTTTCAGTAAAGATTTGTCATGATAAGCATATTTCTTAATGCCTGGATTTGGACGTCTTTCGAATTTCATTCCTGTTATTTATCAGGACAGTTTAAAAAATAGGCTGAAGGGGAGTATGTGATAGCATTTCACTGTATTTTATCCAAATAGGACCAAATATTTCTGTTTACCGCATGAGAATGTAAAGTATTTTGTGTAAAGGAAGATTGCAAAAAAATTAAACAAAAGCTAGGCAGATTTCTAGATGCTCACTTGACCATGTATTTTTAAGATAAAATGACGATGTGTATGAGGGAGCACTCCAAGTAGCACCAGAAGGTACTTTGGAGCATGTATTTTACATTGGAGTCCTACATTTTCTGACCTTGCCCACTGTTATTAAAAACACAGGGCTAATTCCTGGTTAAGAGAAAGATGTTCTTGCGCGGAAACCCTTAGTACAGGCACCTCTAAAACCTGAGCCCACCAGCGTTTGCCTCGTCTGAAGGCTGCAAGCTGCAGGTTGTCCCTCGTGCCGTTAGAGGGGCGGCAGTGGAGCTGGTCACAGGGGACGTGGGAGTGATCCGCGCAGGGAAAGGCAGCTGCCCGGCAAATGCACGCACCCCCGGCATGAGCTGCTCCTCCTTTTAGCAGGGCTACAAGGAGCAAGTGTGTTGTAGAACTCTGCTGGCTTCAGGCGCAGCTGGACCGTACAGGAGCACGTGGTTGTAAGAGAGCGATGGTTAGGTAGTGTACTGGGTTTGCGTGGCAAGGTTTTGTAGCGGCAGGGCTGCCGGGGGGGCTTCTGTGAGAAGCTGCCAGAAGCTTCCCCTGTGTCCGACAGAGCCAACGCCAGTTGACTCCACGACAGACCTGCCACCGGCCCAGGCCGAGCCCATCAGCAACGGTGGTAGCCCCTCTGGTATGACGTATTTAAGAAGGGGGAAAAACCTGCTGCACAACAGCAACCGCAGCTGGAAAGAGGGGTGAGAATGTGTGAGAGAAACAGCTCTGCAGACACCCAGGTGGGTGAGGAAGGAGGGGGAGAAGGGGCTCCAGGTGCTGGAGCGGAGGTTCCCCCGCGGCCCGTGGGGATGACCACGGCGAGGCAGGCCGGGCCCTGCAGCCCACGGAGGTCTGTGGTGGAGCAGATTCCACCTGCAGCCCATGGAGGGTCCCACGCCAGAGGTGGGTGCCTGAAGGAGGCTGTGACCCCGTGGGAAGCCCACGCTGGAGCAGGCTCCCGGCAGGACCCGTGGCCCCGTGGAGAGAGGAGCCCGCGCTGGAGCAGGTTTGCTGGCAGGACTTGTGACCCCGTGGGGGACCCCACGCTGGAGCAGCCTGAGCCTGAGGGACCGCACCCCGTGGGAGGGACCCACGCTGGAGCAGTTTGTGAGGAGCTGCAGCCCACGGGAAGGACTCACATTGAAGACGTTTATGGAGGACTGTCTCCTGTGGGAGGGACCCCACGCCGGAGCAGGGGAGGAGTGTGAGGAGTCCTCCCGCTGAGGAAGAAGGAGCAGCAGAGACAACAGGTGAGGAACTAGCCACAATCCCCACTCCCCATCCCCCTGCACTGCTGGGATGGGGAGGAGGTAGAAAAAATCAGGAGTAATGTTAAGCCTGGGAAGAAGGGAGAGGCGGGGGGAAGATGTTTTAAGATTTTGTTTTATTTCTCATTACCCATCTCTGGTTTGATCGGTAATAAATTCAACTAATTTCCCCAAGTTTAGTCTGTTTCGTCCATGACAGTAACTGGTGAGTGATCTCTCCTTGTCCTTATCTTGACCCACGAGCCTTTTGTTATATTTTCTCTCCCCTGTCCAGCTGAGGAGGGGAGTATAGAGCAGCTTTGGTGGGCACCTGGCCTGCAGCCAAGCTCAACCTGCCACAGATAAAAACTCATGCAATGGCTTCTTTGTTTTTTAAATTCCTAAACATCACCTGCCACGATTTGCTTCCTTTTTGTCTATTAAACTGAGGGATGGCCCAGAACTGGTAAGCTTTCTGATTTCCAGATGTCCTGAGCATCTAAGCTTGTAGATATTTGAACCCTCAGCTGTGGGCTAAACCTACTCTTAGCTGAGAGTAAACTATCCTTGGTAGAAGGTGGAGGTGTACTACCTTTCCTTCTTTCTAGTGTAGAAATAAAAGCTCAAATTAAAATTTAGGCATTTGGTTTTTCCACAGGAAATTCAAATGTGAAATTTCAGCTTCATTTTTACCACACAGAATTTCAGATATTTCCCCTGTTTTTTTCCCACACAGCCCGGTGCATTTTAGGCAATTGAGTGCAGTACATAAGCAAATGAGAGCAAGCATGATCTTTGCTTGGAAGTTCTTTGTTTCTTTGTTGAACTATACTGACAAAAGCACCATAAAAAAAACAGTTTGGGAGAGGACGCAGCTTTGTTAGGTATCCAAAGTGCTGAGCTTTTAGTGCTCAGCTAGCATTGCTGGAACCTCCAAAGAGGAAGATAAATGAAGCTTAGGCCTGGACTCTTGACAGGTTAGAGCTAAAACCTAAGGCTCTGCCCTGGCTCAAATACAGAAAATGTCCGGAGCTGCTCACGCATCGCAAAGGGATGCGAACCTGTTCCTCTTGCCATTGGCAAACTATTCAAAAGGCAAATTATTCAGTGGCTAGTTTTGCTAGAGGCATTGGTGTTTTGACCTGAATCTGAGCCTCTGGTAGGAGCAGGGAAAGGTACCTCAGCATCACCTGGAGCTATGTCCTGATAGCAACAAGGGGAAGGGGTGGACTGGGAAGGCTGCGTCTCTCAGGCCGTGAACGATGGTGACATTTAGAGATGCTTCTTGAAAGATGTTACCTGCCAGCTGTGCCTGCTTGCCTGAAACATAAATCATGGCTGTCTCCTTGACCAAGGAGATACAACTGAACCGTTTGCTGCCAGACACCTCCAGGAAATCCAACAGAGCAATCTGAGCTGGCCTCAAAGAGAGACCTGGGAGGAAGAGGGGTATCACGGAGTGTGCTTTTTCCAGAGGGGCGAGGGAAGAAGCCCTGTGTTCCCAGTGACGTGGAGAGGAACGGAGCGTTTCATGCCCAGCACAGTGTGGCGGGTGTTTACTGGCCGGCTGAGGCACCGTGTGCCAGCAGTGTGGCACTGACCCGCAGGCGCGGGGACACCCGCGGTGTTTCCTTCTGCTCTGCACAAGGCACAAACACCAGATCACCCGACGAAATGCTACACTTAGACCTGATAGACTCGTTCAAACAACGCTTGACACATTTAGACTTTGCCTTTCCCTGCTTGCAGAGTGCTGTCACAGAGGTTGCTGTTTCCTGAAAGCAATTTGTTGCTTATTTATTTCGTTAAATTGATATCTCCTTGAAGATTCTCCTTAGTGGCATGATAGCAGGTGCTTACAGTTTGAACAGTGGTGTGGATTGCAGTTGGTTAAAACAGTTAGAGTGGTGTATCTTCAGCAGTGTGTGGCACAGATGCTTTCAGTGCCTAAACATTTGTGCACAGATTTTAAATTTGTTTAAGGGTGTGTAGGATTGGGTTAAATCAATGTGAAATGTGAATGATTATTCTTAGAGGAACAAAAAAAAAAAAAAAATTGCAATTTTGACACATTCAGAGTTCCCTGGACATCTTAAAGTGAGAAGAGTTAAGGTACGCATCCCCTGCCACCTCTGCGGGTGGCTGTCCCCGCAGTCTGTGCCGCAAGCGCTACTCTCCCTTCTGAGCTCCCCTCCAGACCTACACAACGAACTCTCTCAAACCTCCTCACGTGCTGGTGAGTGGTGGTTTCTGAACCAGGATAGAGCAAACAGGATAATGTGGATTCCAGCGCTTCTCGGGGAGAGTTGGGCAGCATCTGCGGGGAAGCAAAGGGAAGTGGGGGAGCAGGAGTCCCCAGAGGGCACGGGGATGTGTAATGAGCAGGGAAGGCTTCACGGTGGGGAGGCAAAACTGGGAGGTGGAGGCTAATGTGAACTCAAGACCTGTCTTGAACTGGAAAGCCTTCTGGAAAGACTCTTTTAGCATCAGTCTTCCTTAAGGAAAGGTTGGCTGTGAGCAAATGCCTCGTAAAATTAATACCAGTGACAGGTAAAATGGGAAAAGTGAGCTGGTCATTGGTTAGCTTGGAGGCTTTCCAGTCAGGCATGTCAGATGAGCTTTCCCTAGGCTAAAGATCTTCCTAAAGCCATCACGGATCTATCAGTGGTCCTCTTCAAACATTCAGGAAGGATGGGGGAAATACTAGGAAGAAATTAAAAAAAAAAAAAAAACAACAGGTATGTATGCTTATTTTTTTTAAAGGTGGAGTGGATAGGAGCAGGGAGTTGCTGACTGGTCAGCTCTCTGCAGGTCCCTGTGGTTCCCCTGATCAAGCTGCTTGCATGCTTAAAGGTCTCAAGGAGTAAAGGAGCAGCTTTATCAAGAGCAAATCCTGGCAAGCTAACCTCCTTCTACAGCAAGGTAATGGGGTCTTGCCATTAAGGGAGAAACAGTAGATGTCCCACATATGGGATATTAGTATGGGTTTTGGTACTACCTCATATGAAACAATATATAATCTCATAAACAAAGAAGACAAATGTGGGAAACTACTGAAAGGTAGCAACGCTGGATATTTACACCCAAGATCCAGCGCTGGATATTTACACCCAAGATCCTCAAAGGATGACTAACCCAATGGAGATCAGAATGGGTACTGAGCAGGGTTACCCAGAGTAATATCCTGGTCCAGATCTGGATCCAATAGTTGCATTAACCAGCCTGGCATTCAGGATGAACGTATGGAAGGTAGACACAGGGCTACTCAGTGCTCCCACCATGATTTTGTCTCTGAATTACTGAAAAATTCTATGCTCTTCATGGTAAAGGAAAAAGCCAAGGTGAATGTAAAAGCAAAAATGGAAAAATCTACTAGAAAAAATACACTGTATGAGTTGCATGCTCCTGAAAAATCACCTAAGATTTATTTAATAACCAATTGTTTCAGCAGTAAAAGAAACTTC